GCAGTCCACCTAGGGCCCACCCCCAAGCTTTGCCTGCCCACCCAGACCCCGCCCAGCCCACCGGGAGCCCAGCCCAACCCCTCAGGCCAGGCCGGGCTCTTCTCGTCTTTCTTCTGTTCGCCACAAGCTCTGCCCAGGTCCCGCCTCATTGAGTTCGCCACAGGCCCCGCCTTTCATTCCCCCTCCTCCGGCTCCCAGCTCCCAGCCAGCCCTGGGGCCTCCCCGGAGGTCGGTCCTCAGCCGCTTGGTGCTCCCCGCTGGGAGGCGGGGTGGGCCTGAGGACCGCCCGACCCTGCCTTCACGCGGAGGGGTCACTACTGCAGACCCCACCGCGAAGATCCGGTCAGTCCATTTCCTGACGTCCGCAAAGCCTCCCTGCAACCTCCCCAACCCTGGTTCGCCCTGATCCGGGAGCCCCGGTTGCCCAAAGCCTCGTCCCGTCGCTTCAACGGTCCCCCCACCCGCCTTCTGTGGTTTAGGGTGCATCCTGCTCAGAAGCCTTTCCTCTCTGGCGGACACCCTGATTAGTCCCAGTGTGTTCATGTGCCGAGATGACAAGGCTGGAGGGGGCCCCAGCAAGATAAGAGCACGGCTGGACCCTGAGCCCGCACACTGGCGACAGAGTCCACACATTGGCGACGCTACCCGCCCTCCGGTCCTCTCACCTCCAGCCGCCCTAACATGGGTCCTACAGGAGGGTTTGGAACAAGCAGCGGTGGAAGGGGATAGTCGGAGGTCTTCAACCAAGGCACAACACACCCAGACAGAGAGAGGGGCCTGGGTGGGGTGGGCGAGAGGATGTGGGTGGGGGCGCTGGCAGGATCCGGCCCAGAGCTGAGAGGTGAGGAGTCCTGGCTGGGTGTGAGTCGGCTGCCGGCCCACACGGACAGGAGGCCCCTAGGTGGGTGCCAGAACAGAGCGGGCGGGGGTGAAACCGGCAGCGCAGGCCCTAACCTCACAGGGAGGAGGGAAGCAAGTGCAGAGGGCGGATGAACAGGAGGAACCACACATGCCCAGAAGGGGCTCGTACCCACTAACGTAGGGAGGACAAAAAGATTGGACTGCAGGGAAAGGGTGCCGGAGCGAGCCAGTTGACCGGGGCGGGGGACGACTGGAGGTGTGGGGGCTTGACTACACGAACATCCCGAGTGTGCTCGCTCTGGCCTTGCCCTGTGCTGAGGCCTAGAGACCCGAGGCAGGGGACTGGGCTCTGTTCCCGGGAGCGCACGCTCATTGGCCCGCAGCCCTAGCTCCAGAAGGACAAAGTGAGAGGGGACTAGGCCGGCCTGGCAAGCTCCTCCTGGGGCTCCCAGCACTCCCTAACGGGGCCAGGAGAGAGCATCAATTGAATTGTGAACGTCCCCCCACACCTCTGTTCCCGGCTCTCCTTCCGTGCCATGCACCCTAGCCCATCCCACAACGTCTGCGCGCCAACCTTGGCCTATCAGCCTAGCGCATTTGCATCGGCCACGCGCCCCGCTTGCCCTACCCGCCTTCGTGGCCTCCCAAGTCCAGCCGCCATGCCCCCTACCCTAGGGCCTCAGCTTTCAGCCCCACGCCTGAGGGCCGGCTGGCCAGGAATGATCCTGGCTGGACTGGGATTATTTCCAGGGGGCGAATGCTTTCAAACCAAGTAAAACAACTCGAATGTAGCCGTTTGCTTCCTCCTTGATGGCGGGGCAGGGGCAGTCCGTGGGTGGGACTGGTGGGACTGGTGGGACTGGGAGAAAGGCCCTTGACCACGCTGAGCTGGGCAGGCGCGGGAGGGAAGGGAAGAGGGCCTTGAGGCCTTGGGAGGCCTTGGGAGGCCTTGGGAGGGAGGGGGAGGCCTTGGGACGCGGTGGGGGACAGGGAGGGAGGCCTTGGGACGAGGTGAGAGGAGGGAGAGGGAGGCCTTGGGACGCGGCGGGGGACAGGGAGGGAGG